AGGAATTCTGGGAGTTGAAGTCCACGAGTCATGAAGGGGCCATAGTTCTCCCATGCTGGCTCAGGAATTCTGGGAGTTGAAGTCCACGAGTCATGAAGGGGCCATAGTTCCCCCATGCTGGCTCAGGAATTCTGGGAGTTGAAGTCCACGAGTCATGAAGGGGCCATAGTTCCCCCATGGTGGCTGAGGAATTCTGGGAGTTGAAGTCCACCAGTCATAAAAGAGCCAAGGTGGCCTACCCCTGGCCTACACCAACAATAAGCCCTAGCTTGATTTTGGGGGGTGGGCCTAATATAAGCCCTATCCCAAAATAAGCCCTAGTTTTGGGGCGAGGCACACACCTAAAAATCAAGCTGGGGTGGGGTGTGTGGAGCTGCCCCACACACCCCACACCCACTCAGCTTGCAGCCAGGCCTCTCCTCGCCGGCCCACTACTTCTTCTGAGGCCTCTTCTGCAGCCAGGCCTGCATTTCTCAGTCACAGGCCTTTCCCGAAGGCCTCTGCCGCCAAGAACCGAGCTATGGATTCAATCCGTACCTTGGTTCTGCAAGACCTCTGCAGCCGAGCATCAAGCTATGGATTGGCAACTGACTCATATTTATGACGGTCGCTGTGTCCCGGGTTCAGGTGATCCCGTTTCGCGACCTTCCGACAAGCAAAGTCAGTGGTGGAAAACCAGATTCCCTTCACAACCACGTTACGAATCAACTGAAGTGATTCACTAAACAAGAAAGGTCGTAAAAGGGGGGCCAAGCTCATGTAACAACCGTCTCGCTTAGCGACAGACATTTTGAGCTCAATTGTGGTCGTAAGTCGAGGACTACACGTAATCATAACCGCTGTGAATTGACTTATCTGGATGGCTTCTCGCTTATGCCTGTTAACCAATAGATGTCTGCTTTTTTTTTCCTTTTTCCTTGCAGGCTCTGGACGGCAACGTTTATGACCACCTTAAGGATTATTTAATGATATTCAGCAGGACTGAGTTAGAAATCTGCCAATCCGTTCAAAGCACATTCCAATTTCTTTTGGAAACTTCAAGCCGGGTAAGTTTTGCAATCCCAAAAAATCTGATTATTATTATTATTATTATTCTAATCTTGAAGGTCGTTCAGAAATAGGAAAAAAAACCAGGCGTGAGGATTCAGGAAGCAGACAAATGCTCCTTGTTCAATGTCGGTATAAACACTTTGATGGGGTGCAGCTGAGAAGGGAGCTGTTTGGGTAGTCCTCGGTTTACGACCACTCACTGAGTGACGGGTCAAGGTTAACGATGGTGCTAAAAAAAATGACCAGTGTCTGCCGCAGTATCGCCCTGGTCATGCGATCAGGATTTAGCGACCATTTCAAGTTACAGAGCCACTGAGAAAGGTGATTGGCAACCAGTCCTCGCACTTACGACCGTCGTGGCCTCCCCACGATCACGGGATCCAAATTCAGGCACTTGGCAACCGGCATGGACGGTTGCAGCATCCTGGGGTCACGCGGATCTCCATTTGTGAGCTTCCCAGCCAGGGGGTGGGGGGTGGGGAGCCAGATTTGCTTAACGGCTGCCTGATTCACTTAACAACCGCAGTGATTTGCTTAAACGACTATGCCCCCCCCAAAAAAGTCGTAAAATGGGGCAAAACTCACTCTGCCTTGCTTAGGCATGGATAGATAGATAGATAGATGAATGATTAATATATTGATAGATAATGAAAGATGAGTGATTAGATAGATAGATAAATGATTGATAGATAGATGAATGATAGATGAATGATTGATAGATGAATTACTGATAGATAGCTGAATGATAGGTAGGTAGATAGATAAATGATAGATAGATGAGTGATTAGATAGATAAATATAGATAGATGAATGATAGATAGATAGATGGATGGATAGATAGATAGATAGATAGATAGATAGATAGATAGATAGATAGATAGATAGATAGATAGATAGATAGATAGATAACCTTTATTGTCATTTTTTACTGTGGGCACAATGGCACACGTTAAAAATGAAATTTAATTGCTTGCTCTCAAAGTGTACACATATACACTTGTGGTCGTAAGCCGAGGACTACCTATAGCTGTAACGTGTAACCGTTATCTTTGGCATTTGTTTTTGTGACTGTGGAAAACTTTTTTTCACAACCTCTCCTGTTCCTTCCTTTTATGCTCCAGAACGTGTCACTAATTGATACCCGCCAGGTAAAACGTGGAATTGCTCCCAGTTGGGGATAACAATTCAATTTCCCAAATGCTCCTATATAGGATGTTGACTTCACCCACTTGTTATGCAGTGGTCCTCGACTTAATAACAGCTCATTTAGTGACCATCCGGAATTACAACAGCACCGGAAAAAGGGACTTGCGACCATCGTTCACCCTTGATTGCTTCAGCGTCCCCATGGTCCCCTAATCAAAATTCAGACGCTTGGCAACCGACTCATATTTATGATGGGTTGCAGTGACCCAGGGGTGGTCACGCAATCCCCTTTTTGCGACCTCCTGACAAACAAAGTCAAAGGGGAAGGCAGTTATGTGTTGCTAACATAACGGCTGCAGTGATTCAATTAACAACCGTGGCAAGATAGGTTGTAAATTGCCGCAAAGGTCACTTAACCACTGTCTCGCTTAGCAACAGAAATGTCAGGCTGAGTTGTGGTAAAGTCGAGGACTGCTTGCATTCCTGTTCAACAGAGTGAAGGCCTGAATTTTGCAAGGCTGCGTGTGCGTCCCATCCATTCCAGTCGCTCACGCGTAGAACGAAAATCAAACAGCCCGTCGAAGCCATCAAGATCATTTTAATTTTATTATTCCATAAAGATTATTACTTGTCCCATGGCTTTCGTGTTCAAATTGGACTTTATTGCACTCGGCATGTTAACCTGTGAACTCCTTTGTCAGAGCATGCACAGTCTTATTGCACTGAGATAACCCAGGAGTAAATACAGAAAACAGTGGTCTATAGTCAATGTGGTTTATAGTACACTATTTACAATATCATACACCAGGAACAAGATACATACACGTGGTAATGCAGCAGAATCCAATACACAGCAGTTATAGCAGGAAACGGATGAGAGAGAGAGAGAGAGAGAGACTCCAGCTAAAGCCTTCCCTTTTATACTCAAGCTCTTAAAGGGATACAGACCCTGCTTGCTCTTAAAGAGACACATGCTGAGCCATTCTTATCGTTGCATCATCCACATATTGCATTATCTTATTACATCTTCTGATATCATTACATAAGCTGTTTGGCTGTTAAATCATAACCTTGACATCCTTTCTTCATCTGAACATGGTTGACGATTGAGATTGACAGTTTTGATGGTCAATCCACTTTTCTGCTTCTTTTTAAGATGTTTGGATCACCGTTGTGGTAAAAAAAAAAAACTGCATTAATTTGTGTTGTGAGAAACTCTTTATTTTCCCGTGATTTCATTTTCACCTGAGGCTGAATGTGCTTTTTCATTACAATTGGGACGGTTACAAAGAGTCCCATAGCGTTAGTCCGTGGTTTGTTTTTAGGGAGATTAAAAACGAGCGTTAAAAAAAAAAAAACATCCACGTGTACCAAAAAAAAAATCTGTCGTAATTATTTGCTGCAATTGAGCCAGCTGGCTGGATAGGATTTTTGAAATCCAAAATAAATAGGAGAGAGCCTTTTAATGGAAGAACAATAGATTTGTCCCTTGTTATGTGCTGTGCAATTGTGGAAATGTGTTGTTTTTAATAACTTTTCGCGCCATGCCAGGTAGTCCTCGGTTTACGACCGTTTATTAATTAATCGCTCAAATTTGCAGCCAGGCTGAAAATGTGGTGGCGTGCAACCGCTCCTCGCTCTTACGACCGCTGCAGCGTTCCCACGGCGTGACAATCCAAATTCAAGCGCTTGGCCTGAATCTATGATGGGCTCAGTATCCTGGGATCACGTGATCTCCACTCGGGACCTGCCAAGCAAAGAGAGTGAGGCTGTCTTAACGACCTCTGCAAAAAACAGTGGTGTCAAAGTGACTCGCTCAAGAGCCACTCTGCTTAGCGACGGGAAGTTGCAGCCCCAAAGTGCGGTCGCACGCCGAGGACCACCTGTGTTTACCGTTTTGCGATGTCTGACATAACGTTGAAACGCGGGTTGTTTTTCCCCTTCCAGGTCGTGCGAGATTACAATTTTCAGCTCTTCTTCCAAGAAAACCCGGTCTTTCACAAGCCGCCCTCCTTCCAGTTCCAACCGTGCGACAGCGACACCGTAAGGACCTTTTCTAACGACCCTTTTGTTAGTGTGTGTCTGTGTGTAGACGCTTTTCGAGGGCTCCTTCCATTCTGCAAGGAGAGAACAAGACCCCCCATGAATCCCCGGAGGGGGAAAAAAAATATCATAAAATCCGAAACTCTTTCCGTTCCTCTAATCCAAGGCTTTTCAACCAGTGGTACGGGTACCACCTGTGGTACATTGGCACCTGGCAGGTGGTACACGAACATCCTAGAAAAGTAGCAGGGGAGGGGAATGAGGTGAACCGGTGGTAGCACCGCACAAGCCTGAGCAAGAGACGGCTGGAACTGCAGGGCTGTCAGGGCTCAGCGGAAGCGCCAGGATCAGCGCCAGGCTCCAGCTGGAGCTCGGTGCTGATCCTGGTGCTTCTGCTGAGCCCAGAAGAAGCGCCGATCAGCTGGAATGTCGCAGCCTCTCCAGGGTCTTGTGATTTACATTCAGATGCTGGGCAACTGATTCGTATTTATGACGGTCACAGTGTCCCAGGGTCATGTGAAGTGACCAAAACCTGCTGCAACCACCCAGCAGACGGGGGGAATAAAAACCAAACACCCCCCCACCCCACCCCGGCTGCCAATCCTCAACAGAAATGCTCACAACCATGAAAACCTCGGACAGGAGGAAGAGCGCCGCTGGATGGGCAGGCCAGGTGTCTTGCTCGGCTGTGGCTTGGGGGGGGGCACTTTTTTCAGCGCCATTGTAACTTCGAACAGTCACTAAGTGAACTGTTGTAAGTCGAGGACTACCTGTACTTTATCACTTTTTTCCTTTTTTTTTTTTTTTTTGGTCATCACGTTTTTGACACCTTGCTAGGCGACTGGTGGTACTTGGATGTTGCCATATCCTAAAAGTGGTACAATGGGTGAAAAGGTTGAAAAGCCCTGCTCTAATCCAGCAACGACAATGGGAAGGGAAATCCAGATGTTTGAAGGGGTCCCCCAGATGTTTGGCAGGCAGAGCCGTGCTCCTAAGGCAGGAGGGGGAACGAGGGTCGTTTTATGACCTGTGGACTTCAACTCCCAGAATTCCTGAGTCGGCCATGAATGCTGGCTGGGGAATTCTGGGAGTTGAAGTCCCCAAGACACAGAAGGGCCCGTGGTTCCCCACCCCTGTCCTAAGGGGTGTGAGTGTCGCCCGCTTTTCACATCTCTTTGTAGCACACACCAAACGGGGTCCCAAGATCCAGAAAAGCTTTAATCCATATAAAGGCAGATCCAACTTTCTCAACCTTGGCAATTTTAAAAAGGGTGGACTTCAACTCCCACAATTCCCCAGCCAGTTGTGTTAATCTTGTGTTGGGTTAATCTTGTTAAGGTTGAGAAACAACACCCCAAAGAAATGGAGTATGTTACTATACTTCTCCTTTAACCACCATCGTCCCACCTGTTTGCAAAAATCAAAATTAACAGGCCCCCCCCCTTTAAGTGAGCCTTTTGATCTGAAACAGGGACCAATTTAGCTGTTTTTTGTTTTGTTTTTTCTGTTTTTATTTTAGCCTTCTGGTGCCACCCTATGGGGGGAAAAAGAAAAGAAATTAATTAAAAAAAGAATTAATTAAACTTAATTCAGTTTAATATAACCAATAATGTCCTTTCCTATGAAACCGGCTATTTTATTTATTGACTTATTAAATTCATATGCCGCCCCTCTCACCGATAAAGCGATTCTGGGCGGCTTAAAAACTGACAGGTAGTCCTCGGACTTACAACCGTTCATTTAGCGACTGTTCGAAGCAAACAACGGCACTGAAAAAAGGGACCATTTTTCACCGTTAACGGCCGTTGCAGCATCCCCAAAGATCACAGGATCAAAATTCTGGCCTTTGGGCAACTGACTCATATTTACGACGGTCGCAGCGTCCCCGGGGGGGGGTCACGTGATCCCCTTTTGCAACCTTCAGACAAGCAAAGTCAATGGGGGAAGTCTGGATTCATTTAACAACTGGGTTGCTAACTTAACAACTGCAGGGATTCCCTTAACAATTGCAGCATGAAAGGTCGTAAAACGGGGAGAAAAACTCACTTTACAACTGTCTCATTTAGCGACAGAAATTTTGGGCTCCATAGTGACCATAAAGTGGAGGACTATCTGTCCATAGGAAAAAAATTCACATTTTAAAAAGCTAAAAAAAAACCTAGAACCAAGGAGATGAAATAGGCACAGGGATGAAATCTCCTTGGTCCCTTCAAATTAATCTAATTATTCAGAAAATGATCAGAGCAATCATTCCTCTGATTATTTAAAGGAACTTGTTTGCGTGGGTGTTAATTTCCGGCTTCTCACTCTGTTCCCCGTTCTAAAACTTCAAGAATTGTTTGCGTGGAGCACAATTTATGGGCAAAGATGGGCTAGAAATTAATTAGCTGTAAAAAAAGCGATTATCTGCTTTGTTTTCAAGAATTAACTCCAATTTATATTTAAAAGATTTACGCCTCCACCTATTTGCAAGCTCACGGGATGTCTGGCTGGATCGATGTCCCTAGATAGCTTAAAAAAAAGTGGTGTTTTTTTAAAATTTTACTGATTTTCTGATATTCCATTTATATCTTAGAAAAGCAAGGTGGCGGCTAAGTCACCATAATTCAATTACACACAAATATCATTAATACAAATCTCAAACCATTACAGCAAATATTTCCTCTCTTTTCTCCTTCATATGCACTGTCTCACATTTTAATTAATACATCTCTTATTCTATCAATCAAATAAAAAATAACTTTCTTACATTCATCAATAGTTTTTCGTTTATATATATATCTTAATTGTTTTAACGTTCGATCTTTGAGACAATCAATGAACTAGTGAATTTTTTCCAATTTTAATTTTCCATTGATATTTAAAATTATCATTTCCAAGTTTTAAATGTTCCCAATTCCCTTTATCACAATTCCTCACAAAATTTGGTTTTTGTTTTTTTTAAAGTGGTTTTTCTGGGTTTGGTTTTTTATTTTTTCACTTTGTTTTATTTCCAAGAGACTGATTTAAAGCAAGGATAATGCTGGAAGCCGCCCAGAGCCGTTTTCACTGTGAGATGGGTGGCGAATAAATTCAATAAATCGATAAGTAAAATAAGTTCTAAAGCTTTTGCAAAACAATCCTTAGCCCAAAGAGAAAATGGGTAAATGGGTGGGCCTGGATTCCGTGCCACATTATTTGAGGAAAGTCGGATAAAACACGGGAGGCCTCCTTGTGAAATCCCAAACGTGCCCTTGAATTTCAGATACAGCTAGTCCTCGACTTACGCCGTTCGTTGAGTAGCCGTTCAAAGTTACAACAGCGCCCAAAAAAGTGACGTTGGACCATTTACAACCGTTGCAACTTCCCCGTAGTCATGTGATCGGAATTCAGACGCTTGAAACTGGCATGTACTTACGACAGTTGCAGCGTCCCCACAGTCACGTGATCCTCTTTTGTGCCCTTCTGACCGGCAAAGCCAATGGGGGAAGCCAGATTCACTTAACAACAGTGTTACTAACTTAACTGCAGAGATTCGCTTAACAACGGTGGCAAGAAAGGTCGCAAGTTGAGGTAAAGCTCACTGAACGAGTGTCTCGCTTAGCGACGAATTGTGGATGTAGGTCACGGACTACCTGTATTATAGTTTGGGCTTCTTCCCTTCCAGAAGAGAAGCTTCCCCGTGGCTTATCTCAGGGGTCCCCAAGTCCCCGTGGCCTATTCGGAACCAGGCCCCGCAAGCGGTGGGCCAGCCCGCACGCCTGCATGCGCAGCTCGACGTGAGCGAGCCCAGCTGCGTCCACACGCATGTGTCTGTCGGGCTGTGGCTTGCGCAAGTCAAGCTGAGTGCGCGTATGTGGGCCAGCCTGCCGCTCGCAGGACCCAGTTCCCCCATTTTCCACACACACACACACACACACAACAGGCCACAAAGGTTGGAGACCGCTGGTTTATCTGACTTCTCCTGCAAACGGTTTATGCCAGGGGTCTTCAAACTCGGCCCTTTGATGACTTGTGGACTTCGACTCCCAGAATTCCTCAGCCAGGCACGCGTGCCTGGCTGAGGAATTCTGGGAGTCGAAGTCCACAAGTCATCAAAGGGCTGAGTTTGAAGACCCCTGACATGATGTGAGGGGGAAATAATGCTAACTCAGAAAGAGCTAAACTGGTGTTTCTCAACCTCAGCCATTTTAAGAGGTGTGGACTTCAACTCCCAGAATTCCTCAGCCAGCGTGCCTGGCTGAGGAATTCTGGGAGTTGAAGTCCACAAGTCATCAAAGGGCCAGGTTGGAAGACTCCTGGTTTACGCCAAGGCCGAGGATTTATTATGTAAGAGAGTGGGTTGCATTTTCTTTGACTAACCGTACTGACCTGTGTTTGCCTTGCAGTTCTAACCGTCTTGTGTGTGTGTGTGTGTGTTGTGTGTTTGTGTGTCTGTGTGCGTGTTGTCCTTGTGCTACTTTTGACATTCAGAGTTTTAGTGCCGTTCAGCTGGTGGATATTGAGCCCTCACTTGTCAGTGCCCTGAGAGTGACTTTAGTGGAGGTATATGGCGTTAATCCGCTCTCACCGTTATCCCGTGCCGTGGTCCCGTTCTCATGCATGACGCACCCAAGGTTATGGCGCCATCGGCTTCCGTGCCCGAGTGGCCCACAAATGCATCACAGGTTCAGAACGCTGGATCCGCTTCCCCAAAAGCTCTGTGGCCTTCGTGAATGGGGAGGGAGAAAAAAATCAAATTTATTTCTTAACACTGGGGTGCTGGATGTTCTCAGAGCAGATGCTTCATTAGCGAATTAGGGAACGTCATGAGTATTAGAAGGGAGGGGGAGGGGAGGAGGAAGAGGAAGAGTCCTTGGTGCTTTCTGAGCTTGGTGTTTCATGACCCACCTAGGTAACATCATCAGTGCTAGAAAGCAGTGGGGTTTGTGGAGAACAGTTGCTAGGAGGAGGAGGAGGAATGTGGGGTCCTTGTAGCTCTCTGAGCTGGTTTGTTTCCTTGCAGACATTTCATGACCCAACTAGGGAACATCATCAGTGCTAGAAGGCAGTGGGGTTTGTGGAGAACAAGCTGGAGGAGGAGGAGGAGGAGGAGGAGGATGTGGGGTCCTTGGTGCTCTCCGAGCTGGTTTGTTTCCTTGCAGACATTTCATGACCCAACTAGGAAACATCATCAGTGCTAGAAGGCAGTGAGCACAGAGAGCACCAAGGACTCCAAAATCCTCCTCCTCCTCCTCCTCTTCCTCCTCCTCCTCTTCCAAACCCATCCCCTCTAGCCCCGATGATGTACATTTATATCCATGCACAAAGAAAGGAGGTCCTGAAATCGATGCAAGCACGTCAGGAATTGGGAATCCCCTTCGCAGCAAGAATTCACTTTTCAAACCTTCGAACGCCTCGCGTTCCTTCCTAAACTTCAGATGGGCAAAACCATGATTAAAACACAAGAATACGAAACCGCTCGACACAAGGAACTCATCCCAGTTGTCCTTGACTCACAACCGCTTGCTTAGTGACTTTCAAAGTTAAACAGCGGCGCTGGAAAAAAAAAAAAAGATTTTGCAGGCAGTCCTCGCGTTTACGACCGTTGCGAGCCTCCCCGCGACGGTCACACGACCAAAGTTCAGACCCTTTGGCAGCTGGCATGTATTTATCGAGGGGGTCAGCTGGTCGCCATTTACAAATGTCCTATCCAGCTTCTGCGATGCAAAATCAGGCTGGGAAACTGCAATTTGCAGTGATTCCTTAACCACCGCGGCGAAAAAGGTGGCCAAATCTGGAAGGACTCATTTAACAAATGCCTCACTTAAGCAATGGAAATCCTGGCTCCAAATAGAGGTCGTAAGTCAAGGACCTTATTATTTTTTTTTTTAAAGCCCACGCAACTAACGTTTCCGTCTTTGATATTGTGCTTCGTTCCACGAATCCTCCTTCTGGAGGAAGTGTGCAGGATCCAAAAAAATAAAAAACTTGCAATGCTGTCCTTTTTTCCCCGAACACATTAATAATGTTATTTCTAAGAAGTGGGAGCGAAGAACTTGTTATGCATTTTGGCCACGTCATTTTCGTTTTAATGTCGGAGCTGTTCAGGAAATTGCTTGCTTGCTCGCTTTCCGTGGAAAATGCATGATTATTTTCACAGGCTGTCGTTGCCGGAGACATTTGTTGTGATAAATCTGTTTAACTGCATAATCTGCTGACCTGAACTTAAAATCAAAACTGATTTCTCTACAGGAATTTTTTTTCCTTCTTTACCGCAATTGAACCGATAATTAAGTGTTAACGTCAAATAGCTCTTCGTAGACGTTTTAATAGGCCTCAACTAGGATGCAGAGTTTAGGGCACAAAGATCCACTATTCACAGTTATTGATCTGTGAAATGTTGGATTTTTTTTTCTGTGTTCGGTGAGTAAAAGGGTTTCCAAGATGGAGAGCCTAAGATGCAGCTTTTTCAGCTGGTGGGGTCTGTGCCTGCATCGTCAGTAAAATATTCGTTTATCATTAGTTTGGTCTAGCCCAGGGGTAGGCAACCTCGGCTCTTTTATGACTCGTGGACTTCAACTCCCAGAATTCCTGAGCCAGCCATGCTGAGGAGAAATGGAGAGGTTTCCAAGCTGAGCCATGCTGGCTGAGGAATTCTGGGAGTTGAAGTCCACAAGTCATGAAGGAGCCACAGTTCCCCCATGCTGGCTCAGGAATTCTGGGAGTTGAAGTCCCCGAGTCATGAAGGGGCCATAGTTCTCCCCATGCTGGCTGAGGAATTCTGGGAGTTGAAGTCCACGAGTCATGAAGGGGCCATAGTTCCCCCATGTTGGCTGAGGAATTCTGGGAGTTGAAGTCCACGAGTCATAAAAGAGCCAAGGTTGCCTACCTCTGGCCTAAAGCCTTAAATCAAGGGTCTTCAAACTTGGCAACTTTACGACTTGTGGACTTCAACTCCCAGAATTCCTCAGTCAGCCATGCTGAGGGGAAAGGGAGAGGTTTCCAAGCTGAGCCATGCTGGCTCAGGAATTCTGGGAGTTGAAGTCCACGAGTCATAAAAGAGCCAAGGTTGCCTACCACTGATCTAGTGGTTAAGACGCTAGGGTAGAAATGGTGAATTCTAGTTCCACCTTAGTTCAGCTGACTGGGTGACATTGGGCCAATCACCAGGAGGTGGTGAGTTCTAGTTCTGCCTTAGGCATAAAAGTTATCTGGATGACTTTTGGGCCAGTCCCTCTGTCAGCCCAGCCCACCTCACAGGGTTGTTGTCGTGGGGAAAAGGAGAAGGAAGGGCTATTACATACAATTGCTGCCTTGAGTTGCTTATAAATCAAATACAGACGGGATAAAAATAAACCAATCTTTCAAAAAATTAAACGCAGGGGCTGCAGGCGCTATCGGCCTAGCCCAGTAGAAAAGCATTTTTGTAAAAATTTCACAAAAAGGATCTGCTGCCACGGTGAATCTCGTCACGAAGACCCAACGCTGATTCAGGAAGGATGCGCTTGGAGTCAGAAGCCCATCCCACCCACCCCAAAAAAAATTGCAAGCCAGAGAACATTTATTATTAAACCCACTAATGCAAAGATAAGCATATTTGCAAGGGCAGGGACAAAATAAGGAAATTTGCTCGCATTTTTTTTGTATGTGTGTGTTTGTGTGTTTCCTGATCAGAGATCGGGGCCCCTTCCTTAAGCAGCATGTGATCCTGTGGGAAGCCATCCACAGCCCTATAGGTTGGCAAGATAAATGTTCCAAAGAGCTTGCACAAACATTTTGAAGTTGTCCTTTCCTGTTTTGCTCGGGTTTTTTCCCCCTGCCTACGAGGGTATTAAATGACCGTCTGTCCATTTGGAGATGGGGATTGACTTGAAGGCTTTTTTAAATTTTTTTTTGAAAGAGTAACTCAACCTTGTCCATTTTGCAGAAGGTGGTGCGATTATTGAAATGGTAGAGCTTGGGATTGCCAAAAAAAAAAAAAAATCTGGTTTGGCGTTGTGTTCTCCTGACGTTCTGGCGATGGGGAGGGCCCCCAAATGTTTTTGATGGGTCTTCTTCCATGCTGATTAAACACGAGCTTAAAGATGAGCCAGCCAAAAAAACACCCAAGAAAAATCAAATGCACAGGTGCAGAAGAAGTGGTACCTGGCTCAGTAGTAACTATGGAAGGGATCTAGGAGTCTTAGAGGACAACCACTTACGTTCATACTACAGACTTCATACTACAAAAAAAGACGTTGAGACCTTGGAAAAAGTTCAGAGAAGAGCAACAAAGATGATCCAAGGCCTGGAGACTTAAAACATACGAAGAACAGCTGCGGGACTTGGATCTGGCTAGTCTAAAGAAAAGAAGAAATAGGAGAGACAGGATAGCAGCGTTCCAGTATCTGAGGAGCTGCCACAAAGAAGAGGGGGTCACGTTATTCTCCAGAGCACCAGAGGGAAGGATGAGAAACGATGGATGGAAACTAATCAAGGAAAGAAGCAACCTGGAATTAAGGAGAAACTTCCTGACAGTGAGGACAATTAACCAGTGGAACTGTTGGCCACCAGAAATCGTGGGCGCTCCATCACTGGAGATTTTTAAGAAGAGACTAGAGATTCACCTGTCTGAGATGGTATAGGTTCTCCTGCTTGAGCAGGGGGCTGGACTAGAAGACCTCCAAGGTCCCTTTCAGATTCTATTCTATTCCTATTCTACTCTACTCTACTCTTCTCTACTGTATTGTATTTCTATTCTATTCTGTATTTCTATATTCTGTATTTCTATTCTATTCTGTATTTCTATATTCTGTATTTCTAGTCTATTCTGTATTTCTATTCTATTCTATTCTGTATTTCTATTCTATTCTGTATTTCTATATTCTGTATTTCTATATTCTGTATTTCTGTTCTATTCTGTATTTCTATTCTATTCCTATTCTATTCTGTATTTCTATTCTATTCTATTTTCTATTCTATTCCTTTATTCTATTCTGTATTTCTATTCTATTCTATTCTATTCTATTCTATTCTATTCTATTCTATTCTGTATTTCTATTCTACTCTACTCTATTCTATTCTATTCTACTCTATTCTATTCTGTATTTCCATTCTGTATTTCTATTCTATTCTATTCTATTCTATTCTATTCTATTCTATTCTATTCTATTCTATTCTATTCTATTCTGTATTTCTATTCTGTTTTGTTCTGTTCTGTTCTATTCCTGCCGTGGATGGACCATGGATGGAATGATGAGGAATGATGATATAAAGGAGTTAACTGAGTCTCTATCGGTATCTAAATTGAACTGTCCAAATCCTTTTAGCTTCCCGTTCCTTGAAACCGATCGCTCGTAAACCTCAGAGAAGCATTGCAACAAAGCAAACTGTGATTTTGGGGGAGGGAAAAAAAAAGAGAATTTTTTTCCCTATGCTTCCTTTTAAATCCCACGGATCTCATCAGAAGGGTAGCAACTAAGTCTGACGCCACCCCAAATCTTCTCATTCCACTAAGCTGATTTGTAAGAGGGCACGAGTCACCCCATTCTGTCGGATCAACATGGTTGTGAACACACACTCAT